CAGTTATCCAATATTCATAATTAATATGTCAACTTAGATTGATGTTAGCAATAAATCCATAGATTTAGAAATATTTATAGAAGAATCTATAGAAAGTAGAAAATAATTTCCAAAAGGGAGCAGTGGGCGAGAAGCAGAATGTATAATTCTATTTCAGTAAGTGAACTGGTTGCCCATGTTTCACAAGACAACATATTTCTCAGGTCTGTTGACTGAGATAACTTGACATAAAATGTGTAAGCTGGCTTAAAATCAATACAAGACATAAACATAAAATATAAACTGATGAAATGACACAAATCAGGTATTTGAAAGTCGCATAAGCAAGGGTCACTATGTGAAGATGGCAATAGAAACACAGTCTAGGAAGACTCCTTTTGAGCCTTTGGACTGCTGTAATAGTTTTTGTGAGATTTTAATGAAGTCTATCCTTTTGAATGCATAAGTAGGAGTTGTCTCTAAAATTGATGAATCTAGTTATAGTACAAAATGAACTAATCTCTCAAGAGACTATTTCTTTCTATATTCCATGAAAGCAAGCTTTCACAAATGCGTCTAATTAAAAACACTGTATTTGTGCTTATCACAATAAGCAATAAGTACGTAGCTAAGAAAAGGCACCTAGGTATTCTTTGAGTTTGCAGGAGTACTTGTTGCATGCTTTAAATTCTTGCAGACTTAACACCTATTGCTCCTAAATTCTAAAGTGGTATTGTTGTTATCACCCTCATTCCATAGATAAGAAAACTGAAGAACTGAATTGGGAGCTCATAGTCCCTACTTCTACAAGGCAGAGACAGGGAATGACTTACTTTAAATCTCTGTGTGAGTATGTACACATCACAAACACATGATATTTGCTGCATTAATCTCTTTGTGAAGGTAGTTGTTGAGCATGCTTGGGAACTTTGATGCTGGAGGGAAACCAAATAGATAAATAGTAAAAGAACTTAAGAACTTATTATAAGCATCCCTCCACTGTTTTAAATTGGTGTTTTCTCACCTCAGTAGTACAGGAAATTTTGTGTGTAAGCACTTGTACTTAACATGTATATACATATATATAAACATATATATATATATATGGACAGAACTCTTGTTATCTCTGTGTACATTCCAAAGATAACTGTTATCATAGAAGTTTGTAGTCAGTGGGCAAAAGTGATAAAGCATTTTTACATAGCTTTAGGCCAAAATCCAAGAATCAATTTTAAATATACAGCTAAAATACCAAACACCAGAGGAGTCAAACTAAAAGCTATTTCCCTGTAATGGACAAAGGCTAGTATATGCAATTTTGTTTCCTTGATTTGGGAAAGATAGTGTGGGATGGCTTGGCTTGAATGGGGAAGGATAATAAATTCCTGTAATTCCTTTAATTCTAGGTTGTAGCTGAGCAAGACAGATTTCCTCTTTTGGGAACTTGGGGCCAGGACTGACTTTGTTGAACTCTAAGTACTGCTAGTCACAGGGAAAGACTACATGGAGAATCTCTGTTGCAGAAGTGAGCCTGACCAGTCCTCCCGGTAGACAGGATCTTCCTGGCTCTGCAGTCCTACGATGAAGACACATTGCCAGTTTTTACCCCAGCTGAGAGGTGGCTCCCATCATTTTTAGTATTGAGGCATCTGCACTGGCCTGTCCTTGGGGGTCTGGGCTCATTCTCAAGTCTGTTAGTTCCACATGGTGCCCAACCCTAAGTTGAGAAAGATATTGCCATTCCAGTTAACTACTTAGTGCCACGTCCACAGAGCTGGGCCTCTTGGGCTTTGGTGCTTATTTGTAAGCACATGTGAACATTGGGTTCGTGATCCTGTTTATTGGCCTCTGTGAGGCGGGATGGAGGGAGTCTGGGACCTTTCATCTCTCCAGTTTCCTGCCTAGCACCCAAGGATCCTCGCAGACTGTGCTGGTTCTCTTCACTGTGGTGCTGACGTACCTATAGGAGGGAAGAGCTGAACTCTAACCAAGAAGAAACTCTACCTTCCTTTTTGCGTCTAAGCCTCCAAAATAATATGGGAGGAGTCATTTTTCTTTAAAATATAAAAAGAAACAAACAACTGATGTATTTTAAATTGCCTCATTAAATATATTTTACTATTATTTTTAAAATAAATTAAGTTTCTTTAAGTTAAGAACTTTACACTGTGGCTAGGACCAGACTTAAGAGCTTGTCTCCATGATGTGACCATTGCTGTTTGAGTCATGTCTATCAAAGAGAAACTGATGCTGTTGCTACTAATTGCTACCGACAAAAAACATTTTCCTTATCTCCTCCTGTGGTAGTTTCTAACAGAATGAAAAATTCTATAGGAATTGAAAACGAAAACTGAGTTCAAGTACTTTCCAAATAATTTAAGAGAAGCAAATGTAGGACTCAAGAAGGAAAGGGCTTGTAAAATATGTAAACAAGTCATATTCTGGCAAGAATGTGGGGCTTGTGTGAGATCACATTTGAATTCCGTCCCTTAGCTTCTTCCACTAATGTCATTTTATCCAAGTTGCAGCTTGCATGCTGTTGTTCTATGGAAGAGCCTGAGGTGAATGCTGGTGAATGGGGCATTGCACTGTGAAGAGGCAGACCCTGCCAACGGTGCAGGGAACGGCAGCTGTGAGTCTGAAAGCTGAGACGGAAGTGATGGTTTCTTTATCAACCACATCGTAAGCTAGGAGAGCTGAGCCTATGACAAGATCACTATAACACAGTTAAGCCCGCCCTACCAACATCACACATCTGTGTTTTTGCATATGTAATCTTTTACCATGCCGGCCTTTAAATGTTCTTATTGCCTCAAAGTCCATCTGCCCAAGGTAACTTTCTGAACATCTTCATATCTATATATCCTGTATTTTCTTAGGATTGGTCTCTGGGGTTTCTACCCTGATTTCAGCTGAAAACATCACCTTTTTCGTGTGCCTGAGTCCCTGTTATTTCCTTTCCCTATAAATGTGGTGGTCCTAGCCATGCTTCTCCTTTTCCCAGTTTGCGGCCAGATCTGGTGCTGTCTTACTTGGACCTTTTGGAATCTTCCCCAACTGGTACAGCTCCATTAGGTGATCCCATGCTCTGATCTTGGTAGGGAGAATGTCATTGACTTAGGTTGGCCTTCCAGCACCTCATTCTGGATACTGATTTTGACATTATCCCCCCCACCACTTTTTTTCTGAGATAGGCTTTTTCTGTATAGTTTTGTAGACCAGGCTGGCCTCGAACTCACAGAGATCCTGCCTGCCTCTGCCTCCTGAGTGCTGGGATTAAAGGTGTGCACTACCAATGCCTGGCTAACATTGTCTGCTTTCTTTATCAACTTTGTCTTGTCACCTGGATAATTGCTGTAGCCAATCTAAGGACTCTCTAGCATACCTCTTTCTTCCCAGTGAACTGGGCATCAGAGACCATGTAAATTAAGACACCCATGGGAAGTCAGCTACTGCTACTGGAAAGCACCCTAGAAGAGCTGGCTAAACAAATATGTTACCAAATTGGGGAACAACCTGAGAGTAGGGAAAGAAATCGTAGAAAAGAAATTATGTTTTATTACCAGGGAAACTTTGACATCTCTTCCTTATGTTTCCACAGAATATTTGATAGTGTATTTGGTATTTCAGTAGGAATTCACTTCTATGAATTCACTGCCTTCTATGCCCTCATTTTCCACACAGGGATCCAAACAACTGAATTTTATTTTCCAGAAATCTGAACACACCACTGTCTCACTAACGATTTGCAGGGGATCTGATACTCGAGAGTTTAATGCAATGTGTGTACTCATCCATGGGAGCCTTCAGGTACCCACCACTGTGAAAGAAATTGCAGGCCACGTTTATATGGCTAGAAAAATAATTCAACAAGCATTTCAAAATGCTCACTGTTCACCTTTAGTCAATGCACTTTTGTGTTCTTAGTAATATTCACAGTAGTCCACGGGGCCTTTTCCCCTGAAATTTGGTTTAATGTGCAGCCACTTGGCCTGGTTTACACATAAGCCTTCTTCTACTAAATCTGTGAGGCTTGCTTCTGCTTCTTCTTGGCCAAACAGGGAAAATTCTTGCAAATGTGCAACAAAAGCATTTGTGTTTATGGTTATATTAATTTAAGTTTCATGAATTATTTATTTGATTTTATTATAATCGATGTGCCAGACAAAGGTGCCCAAATTACAACCCCTGTTGGTAGAGTCGTCTCAGAAACCCTTAGTAGTTAGAAGGATCTTTACCTATCAGTTTGTTCTAGAGAATAGGTAGGAACTGGGGATGAGCATTATCATGTATAGATGTGAGAAACAAATGTTTACTTAATCCCTTATCTTCTGGAAAATGAAAATGAGGACCTGGGTCACTGAAATACTTAAATAAGGACAAGAACACTGTATGACAGATTTATACATTTTCCAAACTGGCTTCACCTATCCACTTTTATCTAATCCTCTGCTACCCCTATAGTTTCAATTCCTAGCAGCCAGCTGCAGGCACTGCTTATTAGATGGTTTCTGACTGGGACTTGACTTTCTCTTTGGTGAGAAAGTATATAGCTTGTGTCTACAGCATCCCCTTTGAAAAACCTATGACTGTCTCACCAAATACATGTTAAGTATTTTCTCCTATCTTAAGTGCTAGTGCCAGGAGTTAAAAACATAGGGAATCTGTGTTCTTGCTAGTTTCGCTGCCTTTTCTTTAACAGTCTGCTAGACGGTGAGTATCTTGAGGACAAGAGTGTGTATCACACTGAACTCTAACACTGTTGAATGGAAGAAGTCACGGGTGAATAAATCTATTTGTAGGACAGTTTGAAAACAGAAATCATTCCAAGACTGTTGAAAAAAACTGGCTCAGTACATGATAGGTCATATTGCTTCACCAGTTAGTGAAGGTCACTGGGAACTCCAGGGACAGTTGAGGAACAGATCTATCATTGCACCCCAAACAAGTCAGCTGTAGTAGAAATGAGACAGGTCAGCCAGGCCTCTCAATGGTTTGCTCATTATAGTAGGATTATTTACCGAATCTGAAGCCATGTAAGCATGGGGGTGGTTCCTCCTCCAAACACCCAGACAGTGAAGAACACGAGGAGCAGTGTAGTGGTGAACATCATCTGTTTGGGCTGCGATTCTGTGTTGCGGATGGCCAGAGCGAAGGCGATGGCACCTCGCAAACCTTCCAGAGAAACCGAGAGGAGAAAATTAATATCAAGACTAACCCATTCTCTTCACTATATTTATCTTTGCAAGTTGCTAATATAATTTCTTCATTAACTAAAATTTTTATTCAGAGATGATTGCAGATTCTCATGGAGTTCTGAGAAATAAGATACAGAAATACTTTTCCTTAGACTCTGCCAGTGACAACATCTTGCAACAAAACAGCATGTTATCTTAGTCAGAATACTGATGTCTAGCTATGCAGTTAAGACATAGAATGTATCTTCTAATCAACTTAGGAGTCTCACTGATGCTCTTTTATAATCTCACCCACTGACTACATACATACATACATACATACATACACACACACACACACACACACACACACACACACACTCCTTAACTCAGTCATCAGTATGTCTATTCTCCATTTAGAAACTTTGTCACTTTACAGTTGCTTTCATGTCTATGATGGAATCACTTTGTCACTGTGCCTGTCCAGTATAATTCTCCAGGTATTCAGGTGTTGACTGGACCAGGTGTTTGCTTGTTTTCTCCCTTGAACCTAACCTTGGTATAAATGTTCCATGGGTGGTCTCTTTCATCACCTGTTTGTTGACGGACATCTACATTTTTCCTAGTTCCTGGAGGTTAAATGAAAGCTGCACAAGTTGGCATACTGGTTTGTGTGTGACATGCTTTCCTTTCTCTGGATAAAGCTCCAGATTATGATCACAGTGGTGCTGTATCTGCAGGCTTCATTTGTAAAGAGGTTACCATTTTTTCATTCAGACTAGCAACATAAAAATTGTCTAAATTTCCACCATCCTTGACATATTCGGTGGTGTCACCTTTTAGCCTAAACTGTTGTGATAGATAGGGAATGGTAATTTATTATGGTTTGAATTTTCTTCTCTGAATGGCCAAAAACACTGAATTTTTTTTTTTTTTGGTTTTTACGAGACAGGGTTTCTCTGTATTGTTTCAGAGGCTATCGGTCTAGCCTGGCCTCGAACGCACAAAGATCCGCCTGCCTCTGCCTCCTGAGTGCTGGGATTAAAGGCGTGCGCCACCACCGCCCAGCTAACACTGAATATTTTTAATTTGTTACTTTGTTATCTGTATACTTTGCTACATGAAATAGCATTTGCATTTTTTTCTACTTTTTAATTGCATTACTGGGATTTCTAATTGCTGTGTGCTGAGCTCTTTATACATGGTCCATAATAGGCCTTTGTCAGATGCAATGTTTTGAAAATATTTCCTTCTATTCTGTACCTTCTTTTTCTCACTTTTTGAGCTTTTATAGAACAATCTTTTTCAGTCTGATGAATAAAACTTGTCAATCTTCAAATGAACTGTGCTTTTGGAGTCAATTCTAAAGACTCTTTGCATAAACCTAGTCCCCAAAGATTTTCTTTTATAAGTTTTACATTTAACTCCACAATCATCCTGGGGCAGTTTTCATATCAAGGGACAGGCTTGGGTCATGGTTATCTTTTGCACTGGTGACATCTACCTTTCCCATTGACTGCTTTTCTTTTTTTTTTAACATCTGTCCAAAACCAGCTGCTTATACCTTGTGACTCTTTCTGAGTTCTCTACTTATTTCATTTATTTGTGTCCGTTTTTGCAGCACACTGTCCTGATTACTGTAAGTACATAGTGGGCCTTTAAATTAGGTACAGAAATTCTTTCTCTCACCCATAGCTGGTTTTCTTGCTTTCCCATAAAACTTTAGATTTATATTGTATTTGTCTACAAAAGAATACCTTTCTGGGAACACTGTTCTAAATTGAATGTGTCAGATAACAAGGAAAACCAGGACCACTAATTAACTAATTACTAATTAACTGACACTTAAAACATTCTAGACTGATTATATACTTTCACAAACTCTGGGATTTAAACTAATCTATTGGAACTGCTTTTTTCTTTATTTTACTTTTTTGTTCTAAGGTAAAAATATGCTAATTTTATATTGTATATTTGTTAATCTGTATTAAGCATAAGAGGTTTTACAAAATGAAAGGACATATCAAATTGGGGTGATGTTAACAAAAACAGAAATGCAGACTTAGATGGGAAGTAAATAAATTGTGAGCAGCAAAGGAGGCAAAGCAGGAGGCTAGAGGTGGTGACTTGAGACTCACTGAACACTGAGATGCTAATCATACTGTCTAGCAGGGGAGAAAGGTTTATAATGGGAGCAAGCAGAAGTCAAAGAAGTAATGACTCAGCTATTTTTATAGGAAGGTTAAAATAAGATACATATAATTTCAAAGGTCCAGTTTCTATATTTTCTGTAGTGCTAGGGGTCTACTTTGTTACTTCTCCAAAGTAGAGGGTAGAGGTGAACTGTGATGATATGTTATCTATGATTTAATAAAGATTGCCTGAAGGATCAGAGTGCAAAGCCAGCCACACTAGTTTTAATCCCAGGACTCAGGAGACAGAGGCAGATGGATCTCTGTGAGTTTAAGGCCACCCAGGGTTACACATTAGAGTGAAGTGTTCTAAAAGAGAAACAGAGCTCACACCTTTAATCCCAATACTAGAGAGAAGATAAGGAGCTCAATGCAGTCTCAGAGGGCATTCTAGGATTCTGAGGCTTGGTGGACAGCAGTGTAGCCTGGAGATGTAGTCTGAGGTTCAGTGGGTCGCCCCTCAGGTCTGAGCATTGGTAGAGGTGAGAATTCTCTAGTGGCTGGCTGCTTTGTTTCTCTGATCTCCAGCTTGAACCCCAATATCTGTCTCTGGGTTTTTATTATTCATACTACAGTGGGCAAATGTCTTTATTTTTAACTCTAAATAGGGCATCAGCAACAGACCAGAAAAATAATCCCATCCAAGACCAGCTTGGTAAACTAATGATTTAAAACTTGGTGAACCCTATGAGTTTAACTGGGATTTCTTCCAGAAACATGACTGACCCCTCAAAAGCTACATTACTGAAAAGCAGGTGTAGGGGTAGAGATCCCCCCTTAAACCAACATTCTACCTCCCGTGCTCTCTAGCACTCTGGAGATGCACATTTGAGGTAGGAGTACTTGCAGCTGCATGTGTGTAGGAATAAGTAGCTGGCATCGCTGGTGAGGGTCTAGTGACTGTCCTCACGTTTCTCTTCCTATGAGGTACTGTTAATGGGCCTGATCTTGTGAGGGTGTCAGAGAAGTAATCACAGGTGCTTTGGACTGTGGTTGTGCCAAAGGACAGGCAGCATTTTTATAACAGTTTTGGGATTCCAAATCAATATTTTACATTTCAAATTGTTGAGAAACGAAAGATACTGGGTAGAATGAGGACCGTCACAGTTATGCCACCCCAGAGCATAGATTATAATGCTTCTCTGTTCGCTTCATGCTGAAAACATACGAGACAAGTGGTGTGACAGGAGAGACAGAGGACTAGGCCAGAGAGATTGAACACATTTTGCCTGAACCATAAAAGCCTCGGAAGAAAGAGAGGAACATGCACTCTGATTATAAAATACCTCCAAGGGACAAGGTAATGGAGGAAGAAAATTATTCTGAATCTCCATGTAGACAAGGAAATGGCCTGAAGAGAGGGACGATAACATTTGAAGTAGACATTAATAAAAAATGTTCCTTCACATCAGAAGTTCTGAACGCCAGGATGGCTGTGCTCAGCAAAGGTGTTCCTGCTCTCAGACACAACAGGGTAGAGAAGGCTGGGAGGGCAACAAGAGGCCCCAACACTGGGACAATTTGAGTAATGCTCTCTCCAGGATACACAAACAGCATCATTAGGGAATGGAAATGCAAGGAAATAGACTCCTATTATCTGAGCACAGGATTTATAGGTCAAGGTTGTTTAATCATAGTGCAAGCCTGGAGAAAGCAATCCTTTCATTTTTCTTCCCCCCCCCCAATAAGGTCATATTGCTAGATATGTCAGTTAAACAGCATTGCCCATATAAGGTGACAGAAGAGGTATGGAATATTAAACAATGATTGATATCTGCTGTTTGTTTCTTGCTGTAAATACTTGTAGTTCTTTTGTGTTTTTATAAGACTACAAATAAAAACATTGTGTATCTTGCCCACTGTAAACTCATCCACATTAGATACCAAGGACAAAGTAGTAAGCAATTGCTAACTCTTCTAACCATGTTTAATAAGGTACGGTTATTCTGCCAAACTGGCATAACTGTCTTTTAAGTAAATTATACGTAAGCCCTCCTTAGTTTAAGCATGCACTTAAAATAGTGGCAGGTTTGATGGCGTACATCTGCAACCATGGCAATCAGGAAGCTACAACAAGAGAACATCAACTTTGAAGACCGTATGGACTGCAACAGCAAGACCCTATCTTAAAAAAATAAAACAAGGTCCCTCCAGACACCCCAACATTCTCAAATACACATATATGGAAGTATAATTGTTATTCTGACTTCATGTCAATCTATATGAAACTTTAATATATGAAATTGTATTAAAACCTATATTCACAGGCAAAGCAATGTAGAGATGTCTGGGGCAAAAACAAGAAAAGCATAGCAATGACCTTGTGGCAGGTTGGAAAATGTTTATTAAGTCCAAACTCTAAGACACTGTGAAAGAATGACTCTGAATGGATGGGCACCTAGTGAACTTCAGAGCTGAGGGATATAGGGAGAAGAGGTCATCTGTACCTGCCCTGGTCATCCTTAGCCTGCATGGCATTTGTCACAGGTGACATGGGGTGGTGACAGCAAGTGCAAGTTCTTGGGAGTGCTGAGTTTGCTAAGTGGGCAAAGTACAGTTGACGCTCTGTCCTGTCCTGCCTATCCCTCATGACTCTAGAAGTTCCTCCTTACACATCAAGAGCCTAGGTAAATGTCTAATCAGTGACCATTCATTGCTTTAATTAATGCTTATCTATATTTATGTCTCTATCCACACATATGTAAGTACATATGTGTACATGCTGACCCCTTCTTCTTAACACCACGGATTTAGGACACAGAGGATTTTAGAATTGAAAAAAAAATCATTCCAGCTACTGAAAAAA